AGGGCTACAGTGCCACAAACTTTTCTGACCCGGTTGCCAAAATTGGAACTAAGACGCCATCGTTTCGAATTAGAATTGAGGAAATATTTAAAAAATAAAAATGAGTTCTTGAAATCAAACTAGATATCACTAGTGATTTTCGGATTAAAGGAAGTATTTAAAAAAATATTAGTTCCCGAAATCTAACTAGATGTCGCTACGGTACGTTCTTGATTTCTCCATGACAACCATTCCGGTTTTCTTTCATGTTTAAAAGTAAATTAGGTTTCAAAATTCAATAAACAACTCATATTCTATTTGTACTTTTTCGTATTTGTATTGATATCTAAGTTTCGATCTTTTCAAATTTCAGTTTTTTAATATGTTACTTATTAGGAACAGTTCGCAAAATGACGACGGGAGACCTTGTACTAAGAAGAACAGGAAAAAAAACTTAACAAGGGCTGCTTTTTTCTCCTTGTTTTATTTCACAAAGATAATTCTTATTGGAATTAAACTTAATTAGATTATTAAGTTACTTTCTGTTACAATATCAGAAATAACATGACAGCTATCTTTCGATTACTGATTTATAAGCCCGTTGCCGTCAGGGAACGGAACTACCTGACGCACGCGACACCACCGCAGAGATTTTTGAGAGAGCGTGACTACTCTATACTCCATTCATTATAAGATTAGAAAAAAGAGGATCACAGAAGCAGCAGTGCAGAACATTTTATTATCAAGATAAATTTTAAAATATATATAACAGTTTTGTTAAAACTTTGAAAGTTAGGTAGTCTGAAAGAGTTGGGCAATTTTCCATTTTCTTTTGCTATGAGGCTAGAATTTTCTAAATTCATTTTTTACTCCCAAGCCAATATGGAACTATAACTATCTATCTGTTGTTTTGATAAATTCTAATTGTAAGTGTATAATTAGAATAGAATTTAGTAATATTTATGCCCAGGAAAGAAAGGTAAACAAAATGAAATTTTTAGTATTACTTTTATAACACTTATTCAGATATTATTAGATTATTGATTAATATATTGGAAAAACTTCCTGAAATGTCAGAGGTAATTGTTGTAGGCCATTTGGACCTGCACCGGAATCGTCCATATTTAGCAAAACTTAACATCAAAAAGATAACAACCAAAACAAAACTATAAGAAAACAACAATAATTTAATAACAACTCAATCACGGAATACGGTAAAACAACAAGAAAAGCAATAACATTCACAATTAATGAGAATCCCAGATTACGTATTTTGACTATTATGAATACATCATAATCTGACAAAATTAAAAAGCTGTACTACCGAAACGTTTGAAGGGATTAAGCAACGTTTTCAATTTGGTAGAGTTATAGTGACATGAGAATCGTGCCGAGACTATCCAACCCTGCTTCTGTAGGTTCTTTAAGATGAACACTTTTTATTGTAAAATTTATTAAATCTTTTAAGTTAGTCAAATACACATAATTTTGTTTAACAGATAGCTTAAACGACAACCGTTAAGTATAGCAGCTGGTATTTAAGTGGATATGTAGTAAATAAGCCGTCAGTCTTAAGAGTAACACGATTGTTAATATTTTGTCACAAAGTATGCCATAAAAAGAACCTTATTTAACTTCTGTCTAATGCTATAATGAATGGAGTATAAGTACTTAATAAATAATATAATTCAATAAATCTGCTTTCTAGTGTAGGTTGAGTAGGAAGTCAATCTTTTATTGATAACATTGTTGTAAGAACCAAAAAGAACATAACACCTGGCTATCTAGAGTTCACGAAGTCTGACGTCGGCATGCAAGTTCAGTAGCGATAGTATATTGACTGTACGTGTCTTTGTGATTTTCTTATAACCTTGCTATTCGTTTCTTGTTGATTTTTGAATTTTTATTTAGATAATTTAATTATGAATATAAGACTTAATAACTGTTCTTGGTTAAAAAAATATTAATTTCGAAAGGACAACTGATTTGCAGGTTTTACTGTGCACAAACGTCATTCTAACCAGAAGTTATGTTATTTTGTACGAGTACCTAGTATATTTGTTACGTATCGGGTAAGCATATATATAATAAACTGATTTTTTTATTATTATTATCGTTTTTATGACCTTGGTTACTGATCAATAAACCCTATTCATTCATTCACCACAGGTAATATCAAGACATGAATGAGGAAGTATTTAAAAAATAAAAATTAGTTCTTGAAATCAAACTAGATGTCACTAGCGATTTTCGGATAATAATATTTTTTCTTGTGTAATAAATGTAAATTGAGAAGTGAAAATTACTATATACGACATCGTTTCGTGTTTTTTATTTTGATTAATTTGAAATGAAATGAAAATGTCTTAATTCAAGTAAGCTTGTTTCAAGCACTTTTGAATCGTCCATAAAAAAAATTTTTCCCCTACCACTTGTTCACGACGTCTTTTAGCTGACAAGAACAACAAGCGAAAGAAACTTACCAGCTCTTTATCATAAGTAATACATATAATTAATCATTATTGTACAAAGCGAAGGCTATTATTTCCATGTATTGCGAATCTTAAAATAATCATCAACTTTATAATAGCCTTTACTCATAAGTATATTCTTTACATAAATTTGAAATTTATTAATGGGTAGGTTAGTTACATTTTGTGGAACTTTATTCGACATAGCAATGCATTTACCCAGAAAGAAGCCTCATGTTTTTTGAAGTCTGAAGCTCGGAACGGCAAGTTTATTTTTATTTCTTATGTTAAGATAATGAACACTACTTTTTTTTGTGAAGGAATCGTAATGTTTTCTTGTATCATTTTCGTAGATGTATTGAGAGGCAACAGTCAAAATATTTATTTCTTTAAATATTTCTCTGAGAGATTCCCTAGATCGTAAAATATCTTGAATGCTAACCGCAGAACCCCAAAACAATAGACCATACCTGATTTACATCGTCAAAACAATAATTACCCCTCTGGACTTTAAACAATAAAGAGGTGTCATCTACAAATAATACTGTCTCGCACAATGAAGAACAAAAAGCAGAACGCAGAATTCAGCTTGTTTTCATGTTCAGTATTTCCATATGTGCCATTATGTGTCCACACGAGGCATGATATTAATATAAATATCGAAATCAATTCAGTCTAAGCTGTTACATATTACTTGTGAAAGTCGGAAACTATGCCAACTGTTCGCAAAACTACGGTGCGAAACCTTGTACTGAGAAGAACCGACAAGAAAATCAAGAAGGGCTGCTTTTTTCTCCCTGTTTTAATTCACACAAAGAAGTTTTATTGGAATGCATAGTTTTGATAAATAAAATACTTATGCTATAGCATAAGTATATAATTTCACGGCACCATTATACTACACGGTATATAGCTAAAGCTTCTTTTAATATTTCACAGCATTAATTGTACTGATTTTCATAACTTTTAAAAACCTTCTCTATGTTCACTTCCATTAAATCAGTTTCCATTTTCCTTTATACAAATAAAAAATATATATTCAAAGGTTCCTTCGTATTAATGTTGTTGCGTCTGCGTACTCGACCTAATGAGAAAGTATTTTCCTGCAAAAATCAACTTTTGCTAGAGTCGCCATCTAGTGGAGGTGCATTTTAGTGAATTTGTTTTTTTTTAAATACTTCCTCATTACCTTACAATAATATCTAAATTAAAATGCTGATATAAAAAGTGAATACTTATTATTTACTAAAAAAACAGTATTACTGTTAAATACTGTTTTTTTATCTTATAATTAATCGATAATTATTTCGCTGATAATGTTAATTTTCGATATATCAATATTTATTGTGGATTATAAAATGCGATATTTTATATGATGGGTGATTTAATATAGTTGTTAAATATCCCTACATAGGTTAAATAAATATTTGATAGCAAAAGTATTCTAAAAGAAAAAGAATTCTACTCAAAGAAACTATACCACGCATATAAAATAAAAGTTAGTAAGTATATATATATATTTATTGTAACATTTAAAACTTACTAAAAAAGGATGGCCGATTTAAATGCCACCGTAAAGTTAATTTACATATTAATTCTTCGTTTACACGGCACTTATTTCGCTTTGGTTACGAAATGGCTTCAACGATGGGTCTATGTCTGCAATCGCTTGAAGTTGTTCTTACAAAACTTCGAAGAAAATTTGCATGTTTATAAATTAGAATATCAAGTACGAGAATAAAGATATTTTTAGCTATTGTATGTAAATAACGCTGTTCCTAAATTAGTAAGGGTATAAGTTTTTACATTTAATAGTAGTAAAAAAATGTTTTCGGCATTTCGTTTTATAAATACAAAATGGAGAATTTTACAAAACATATTGTTATAATTTGATATTATGTTTTTTTTTTTAAATTTACAAAGAACTAGAAAGCCGGGTTAGTCAGAAATAGATAGAAGAGTGTTAAGATTAACTGGACGGGGAGTTTTTGGTGGAAGCTGATTATATAAGGACGGATACTTCTGACAGTTTAAAAAAATGTGATCAGTGGTTCCTTCTTCAATTCCACATTCACAGAGAGAACTATTTAAAATTCGAATCTTTGAAAGAAAAACAGGCGTAGTACGTGTCCCAAACGTAGACGGCAGATGGTTGTGACGGTACGTCTGGCGATATCACGAAATTTATCAAACCATGGCTTACTTGGCACAGAGTTTTGTAGGCTACCATAATGTCGTCTTATACAAAAAGCTATTTTAGAAGCTAGGTATTGAGCATTAAACACGACACAAAAATGTGTTTCCATCTTTACAAATACTCTATGACAATACCTTTTTTAATACAATAATAGACAATAGTCTATGACTTGGATTATAAAATTAGAAATTATTATAACAGCTTTTGTCTCTTTTTTACTCATTACATTCGGCTTTGAGAGGGCTCTGATAACGGTTTTGTTCTCTTTCTATCATAATTTTGAATGAGTAGTAAATACTACTCTTTGAGACATTAAACGAATAAATGTCTGTGATCAATACAAAAAAAGAGATACAAAAATTCCAAGCAAATTCATACAAATTCTCCAATCAAATTATTGTGAGCGAATCTTAATTTAAAAGTTTTCAATTATTTTTTATTGTTCTAAATACCTATATAAACAGCAAATTTAATCAAGAATACATATTAAATACTAAAATGGTTAGTAGAATAATCATACGTAAGTATATAAAGTGATCTCGTGTGTAATGTAATGATGTTTATATTTCTTTTTTTAGGCTGGATATTCGGAAGATCAATTGGCAGGTAAGCTAGATTTTTACTATAAAAGCTACGTACGTCTGCCATAAAACTAGTACACGGACTGCAGGTAAAACTAGTTGTATGTCATTTCGTAAGTAACAACTAACGACTACGTAGGTACTCGAGGTGTGTCCACTTGTGAGTCATGTCAATCAACGTCTTTACCGAAAGCGGTGATTCTTGCATGCGCCCTAGTTTCCTTTTAAGGTAGGTATTTTAAAATGATTCTTGCGGCCGGTTTGCAACGTTGCAGTGTCTTTTCTTGCTCCGTCCGAGATGTTCGTTTACGAGCCGCCCACTAAACTAAGGCTCACATCTGTTGAAGGTATAGCACTTCTAACATTAGATACCCATTTACTCCTGTTTTTGTGAACTATACAATTTCTGAATTTTGATTTCATTTTCAGAATTCCAAGAAGCATTTCAGTTGTTTGACTCTCGTGGAGATGGGAAAATCCATGTAGCGCAAATAGGAGATGCCTTGAGAGCACTCGGACAAAACCCTACAGAGTCAGATGTCAAAAAGTGCACACTCCACCTGAAACCTGATGAAAGAATATCATTTGAAGTTTTCCTGCCAATATATCAAGTATGTGGTAATTAAGTTATTACACAATAAACAGTGCAGCTTCATGATCATACTGAAATTAAATTTGATAATCCTTTGTTTTAAAGGTTAGTTTATTTAATGACTAACAGCCAGTTGCACATATGTCCATTGAAATGTTCATTAGTTAAAAGCAACATTACCCAGATGTTATATTATACATTAGTTTGTACATACAATAGTATAGTGAAGTGCACATCAATGAGTAACTGTGTTTGCTTGTCATCAGGCAATATCCAAGGCAAGAAGTGGTGACACAGCAAATGATTTCATTGAAGGACTCCGTCACTTTGATAAGGATGGTAATGGGTTTATATCCTCTGCTGAACTCCGTCACCTTCTGTCTACCCTTGGTGAAAAGCTGAGTGATGATGAAGTGAGTTTATCTACTGTACAGTTATAATCACTAATCCAGGCTAATTTTCAATTGATAAGTTGTATTTATAAAATTTGAAACTTTATATTGACTGTTTTGCATCTATGAAAAAGTAAAAAATAACAGACTTCAAATTAAACCACTACAAAGCTAAAAATAATTAAAAATACTTTGTTAGTACTTAAACAATGGCTACCTAAACTACCTAGATAAATTTTTGTAGTTGGTGCTCGCCACTCCGCGCTTTTAATACTGTGTTTACACATATGAGAAGAATGGTGCAGCTGTTTATGGTGCATAGCCCGATGCAGATCACAATGTAGAGCAGTTAGAATTTAGTATATTATTTTAGCATTATTTGTATTTTAGTGAGCACTAACTCTAAAAATGAATGTAGGTGTTTTAACTTTTTAGTGTTTTTATTTTTATTTGTTTTTATTTGGTCATTTTTAGTGTAAATACCTAAGTGAATTTTTATAACAACAAAGGCTTCTTTGGCAGATCATCCTCCCATTTTTTGTTGGCCTTCCCTTTCTGCACTTCCCTTCTCTTGGGAGAATTAGTAATAGACTTGGTCCACTTCTATTTTTTGTCTCTTAAAATATGAACACTTACACTTCAGGCGTTTTATTTTTACTGCTGCATCCTGAACATTTGTGATATTTCTAATTCTTGACAGTTTACATTTGCTTTTCACTTTCAGGTGTAACATACTTCTTTCCAATGTTTGTTGACACACCTACATATATTCGCTTTAGTGGGCATATGAATGAATGTTAAATTCGCAATCTTTTCTTTTCGCTTATATAAACATTTATCAAAATATATTTAAGTGATATCTAATGAAATAAAAGTATATTTAGTTTTGTTATAAAAGAAAAATTACCGATTCGTTTTCGATAAAATATAAATGGGACCACCTCGTCGTCCATCAAACTGTCGATAAAAAAAAGAATTTTGAAAATCGGTCAACAATTCGCGCAAAAATCGATGAACATACATAAAAAATACGTTACCGTCGAACATAGTATAGTCTCCTTCTCTATTTCGAAGTCGGTTAAAACCTAACAGACTCTTGCCGGAGAGAGCCCAGATTTCAGTGTTTCTATACCATAATTTACCATTGACTAATAATAAATATTAAAATATGTATATATTTATTTGTGCTTATCTTTTATTTTGTTTCTGATCTCTATTATATTTTTATAGTGACTTTAGTTTATGTAATAAATATTGTTGATTAGAAACATTGCTTTATTTAATAAACACATTCTTCATGGGATTACTTTGACTGATATTATAACATAAATTTTCCATAAGATGTTTTGTTTTTTTCTATGACACAGTATAGAACTAAAAGACAAAAATTCTTATGGAAAAGTGTAGCCAAGAAAATAAACGTACTCGAACCGAATAAATTCGGCACAGAAACCGAATAATTCGGCCGAATATTAATAGTAAAAAAGATGCCGAATACCCCCAATACCGAATCATAGAATATTCTGCGTCTTTAGTAGAAATTTCATCAATAATAATAAAATTAATAATTGTTACAGTAACGTTAGTGCCAATAATGCGTAGTCAACACAAGGCTAAAACAATATAAGTATGTTGTTTTATAGTTTGTATCTGCTTGTGTCAGGTGGAGCAGTTGCTGCAGGGACAAGAGGATTCTCAGGGCAATATCAACTATGAGAATTTTGTGCACCTCATCATGCAGGGCTGAGCGTCGGCATTGTTTAGTGTCGAGTTCAGGTTAATAATTATTCCCAACAATTTCCATTACAACTTATTCCAAACATTTATTAGTTTTAAGGATAATAACAAATTATGAATATGATAAATAACATAATAAATTTATATAAAACATAATACATTTTTCATTTGACATTTTGCGAGGTGCAACCAGGATAGCGAGCCATAGCCATTAGTACGCTTTGTTGGTTCTATCAATCAATACTCTTACTAACTTAACAAAGCTATTTAGAAATGACAAATAAACCAAAATGTTTGATTAAATATATAAATAATAAAACATTTAAAGTTAAAAGAATATCGGCAGATTCATGGAAAAATAAAACGCTTTTGTAACTGTAGCTATAATCAGGGCTAGAGAGTTGGGCAGTCGCTCTGCAGAACTATTCATATAATCTTTTTGTTTGCAATATGTGATCATAATTGGGGCGGCTAGACGGCGTAGCGGTCGGTCTGCGATACGAAAGTTAAGCGACTTTCACAAGAGCCACTCATAATATGGGTGACCAAATTTTACTTTTCGAGCTTTACCGTGCTTCAGAACGTTCGTAAAACCGTTGGTCCCGGCTGTATTTGCTGCCGTTAACACCCGTCAATCCGCTCTGGGCCCGCGTCATTTTCCGAAAGTCATTTTTCCTATTCAATTAGATTCGATTCCGTCCACAGAGATGGTCTGAGCCCCAGCAATGAAGTGTTTCTTCTGTAGCTGGAATGGTATTGGTTTATTCTTGAAGAAAAAAAAATCTGCAATATATTCTAGAATAATATTAAGGCGGGGAAAAAAACCGATGCATATTTTCCGCGAGCTGAAAAGTTTTCTTCGTCTATTACACAATACAGCGGTACAAAGAGACAAGTTCTCTGCAAGATCGCCAAAGGAGTGGTCAGCCACGCTCTGTGAGGACGCCTGACATCAAAATCATCAGAGAGCGACTTCGCCGAAATCCATGTCGCACTCAGAAGAAACTCGCTCTGCAGACTAACATTTCGCGCGTTTCAGTGACAGATTACTGAAATATGATATGGTATAGGCCTTTAGCCGTAGAAAATTTCACATTTTAAACGATAGCCTTCGTAAGTTACGACGCGAACGTTGTCCTTTGCTGCTGAGGAGACATGATGCCAGGAAGATACTCTTCATCGACGAGAAAATTTTTACTGTCGAAGAGAAGTTCAACCCACAAAACAATAAAATGTACGCTTAAATTAGCAAGGATGTCCCAGCTTCTGCACGGAATGTCTCGCGCACTCATCATTCGGCTAGTGTAATGGTATGGTGGGGAGTTTCGTGTGAAGGTGTGTCACGGTGACCCGTACCAGGTTAACTTTTTGTCTTTGATTTTCAACATCATTTCTTTTTATTATTCACCTTTCGTAATTTGAAATTTCATCCAAGACGAGCCAAGCGAAGCGTAAGGGCACTACCTACCTTTTCTCGAAGTGTTTCGTCGTTTTTTTGAACCCTCATAAAGTTGATTTCCGATGTACCAAATAATTCATATTTTCAGTATTTGATGTCAATAATGGACTAATTAAAAATACAAAGTCTTAATTGAATAGCTCTAATACTTTAGATTATATTGATATCTTAAATACACCAATTTCGTCACTGACACACTCACTGATACACTGATGATCATCAAAATGTTTGGCTACTTCCTGAAGTGCTAGAAAGCTGAAATTTGATATGTAATCAAAGTTTAGTATACAACCGACTAAATCATAAACTTATAACTTTCGCCCCCCATCCCTTAAAATGGGGATCGGACGTTTGTATAAGACTTCGAAATGTTAGGGTACTTCCTGAAGTGCTCGAAAGCCGAAATTTGGTATGTAAACAAACACCCCCATAGTATACACAGAACATACATTTTTACTAATATGTAGAATTTGTGAAATTAGGGTCGGTAGAGTTAGGCCGTGTACATTCAGAAGCTTGGCTCTACATGAGATCTGATATCTTTTTTAACAGGGCGAATCTTATGTGGTCGTCTGTGCAACAATTTACATGAAATTTTTGGTGGGATAAAATTTTTTAGTCTACTAAGTTCTACCTGTTACGGAAAACCCGGAAACGGGATTTTCTTATAACCTTCTAATAAATCAAAGTTTCACGGTTAGTGAGCCTTTTCTTCATTAGCCTAAGCATCGAACCCGTCACAGGTCTCATTCCGCTACATTTCGGCCAACCAGGTGTCAAGGTGAAAGGCAAGTATTATCAGAGTGACATTTTAGAGCCCGTTGTGAAACCCCTGTCTGATACGTTATTTCACAATAAGGATTGGTTTTCTCAGCAAAACTCGGCGCCATCCTATAAGGCAAAAAGAACCCAAGCTTGGTTGAGGGAGAATGTGCCGGCCTTCATTAAGACCCCAACCCGCTAAATTATTCTTTAAGTACTGAAATGAATCTGTTATTAAATACCACAAAACACGAACATTATTGCAAACTAACGACGTAAGGAATGGAGACTATCACTCACCATGCTTTTTTAAGAGTGTTATCGCAGTGTTATTCATCGGTAACGAAGGTGAAGAGCCATGCAAGTTGCTTGAAAAGTAGGATCCTCAACAACATCAACAATTATCAAAAACGTAAATGAATTTGGTCCTCGAATTGTATGGAGCAACAGGCGCAAAAACTAACATTCTCTATCATTAGAATAGACTATATACACTCTACCTAGAGCAACAAACTGAAATATACTTATAAAAACTTATAGCTGATGGCGTTAAGGTCGGCAGGAAGTGCTCATCAGACAGAACGACTTTTGCTAAGACGTCATTCCTTTATACGTTATAGTGATGCTCTCAGATTTCTACATCAGATGTTCCAAATCATCGAATTTTAATCGCGCAACAGTAAATACTCATTCTGCCAAGACCTCGGTCCTGAATCCTACTAATGTAATAAAGGCGAAAGTTTATAGGTTTCGATGTTTGTTACTTTTTCACGCTCAAACTACTGAACGGATTTTGATAAAATTTTCTATATAGGCAATTCTTAGTCTGGATTGATATATCTATAGGCTACTTTTTATCCGACTAAAACTACTTTTTAACCGATAAAAGTACTTGGAAGAGCGCCTATTTTTGTAAACGCTGCCTAAACGTTAAGATATATATGAATGCTTTCTAACGAAAAGTTGGAGAGCTTTAAATTATCTATAAAAAAGTCCGCGACATCATCGGTATATCTATGTGCTGTTATTCCACAAAAATAAAAAACTTAAAGGTGTATTTAAACTTTTTGTTCGTGTATAGACTTTTATTTGAGTAGATAATATTGAATCCTTATCGAAATAAATATGCTTATCGCTAAACAAATTTAGTATACAAACACTGCCTTATACACTGAATCAATTGGATCAGTAGTTTGGATTTTACTGCGATGTTTTCTGAGACAGATGAAAAGAAAAAACACCCTGCCTATTTTCTAAACACTACATATGCATGTATTTAGTATGATGTAACAGCGTTTTTTTACATGTATACGATAAATTTTATATTAATACGAACTGTAGTTACGATATTATTGTTTTTGTAATTAAAATAATAAAAGCAACGATGGTTAACAGAGCGTGTAGTTATCAATTTGAGATTGGCAGTCCATCCTATCTACATTTAATTTGCATTTTGAATTTGTATCGTCTAAACTAAGAAATATGGTATAAGTACGCATTCCCGGAATGACTGTTTAGGCCTGTTCTTGCCTAAAATCTTATTTAAAAAAAAAAAAAAAAAACTTATGGAGCTTGTAATTTTGTACAATAATTTTATTTTAAAATATATTGTAGTAAAATCTTGTTATTTTATTAAGAAATTCTTTTTACAGAAGCAAAATACTCGCCTCTCTGATTTCGACCCATATAGCTTATTCGGAGTGGTCTCCATTGTGTGCAATACAGTTCTATAAACGTTGAGGTCAGTTATCAATAGACGCACGCATTATTTCCATGGGAAAATTCTTAACTGCGAATCTTATGGATGTTTTAGGGACTCCAAATTGTCATGGCGTTTAGAGCGAGCCAAACTCTCTAAAACTTACCATAAATCACAATTTAGCGGATAAAGATCTGGACTAGATGTCAGCCAGTTTTGAGCTCTGATTAAGTCCGGAACGTTCGTTTCTAACTAATTGGATGGGTCCAGCTTTATGACCTGGCGTCGAGTCTTGCTGAAATATTTTATTTATGGTCCGACTAAATTTACTATAGTTACATACATGTACATACAATTAGATATAGTTACATACATGAAAATGGTAACACTTATTTACTGGGATGTTCTATAAAAAATTCCGAGATTGTTTTTAAAACTCCTATAAAATCATCTCCTTTAGATATATACCAATAAAAATGTACAGAAAGAACTTTAGATATCTGAGTAACAATTTTAACTTTTTAAAGTTGGCTCTATTTAAAAAAACTTATTCCCAATTGTAAATTTCTTTGCGGTTACTGAAATCTACTTATACACATAGATGAGTGCCGCCGCCCGTTTTGCAAATACCCACACAATAAATAATAATCTTATTATTCATTATATTTGATAAATTTTGTATGCACAATGATATACTGAAAAATATTCTTAACGAAAAATGCTTGAAAAATCGATTTTGTCCCCGCTCTCTGTGATGGGAACCGAACCCATAGCCTTTCACAATCTGAGCGATTGCTCTAACCACTGCACCATTAGCTACCCAGAACCTAACAGGACTGACGAATTTTTTAAGCATTTGTTACTTTTCGCTACTATCGATGGGTTCGAGTCCCACCTCTGAGTGCCAGGGACAAAATGGATTTTTAAGCATATTTCATTACGAATAATTATCTCATGATTCAAAATAAACTTTTCTTTCAATCTAAATGCGAACAACAATAGATGAATCTACTATCAAACGAGCAGTCCGAGATGCATGATTGTTGATAACGGGCACTTTATTTGTGTTTTGAATGAATAGCCACAAGGAAGAGCAGAAGCTGAGACTGATTAAACTAAGAATAAAAGACGCAATAGTTAGTGTAGTAGGTGGGGGCTTCCTGTGGCGGGCGCGGGCAGGACAGGCGCGAGCGCGTGCCACTGTGGTCGGGTTGGTCGATGTCGAGT